AGAGGGTCTCCCTCACCCAGACCTCCCTGTCCCATAGCGGGCATGGGCGTCCCACGGGACTGATGAAAGACCAACGCAAAGTACCCATTTAAGTTTTTTTCCTGGGCATCAGTTGTCAGATGTCCCATCTGGTTCAGCAGGGGTCCAATGTTGCCTTTGCTTTTCCTTCGGCTCCTCACATATCTGAAAAAGGACTTTTTATTGTCCTTGATGCTCGAAGCTAGTTGGAGTTCAGTCACAGCCTTGGCTTTCCTGGTTCGCTCCCTGCAGGACCGGACCAGTGCAGAATATTCCTCCTCGGAGGTGAATCCCATCCTCCATCCTTTGTAGGCCTTTCTTTTTAGCCTCAGGAGGTCTGCTTCTTTCTCAGAAGCTTCTTTTGATAACTACAGAACTGTGATTTTGAGGTTAATATTGCGATTCGGACACGGGTTTTGTGTTGAGCCCGGGGCAGGCTAACAACAGGGCTGATGGTTTACTACTATGCAGATGCCCCCCTCTTCAGCCATGGAGCCACTTCCTCTGAGTGGTGACCAAGGTGTCAGGGGCAGTCTGTGGCAGGGATGAGAAGTAAAGATCTATCAGTCCTGCCCCCTGCTCCTGTGCCACCTACTCGGCCACTGGCCTCTTCTTAGTTTTGACTTGAGGGTGAGTTCTTGAGTGTCATTGAATTGCTTGCCACATGTTTAACTGCTGAGTTTGGCTGGACTACTCCTTTGGGGCGCCCGTACATGTGCAGCGAAGCTGCTGTGACGCACTGCAATTGTGGCACATTGGAGCAGACTTGATCAGTTGAGTCTGCTGCAGCGTTGTAATTACTGCGCTCCAGAAGACTCCAGCGTCTTGTGCATCAGTGTCCCCGTGCTGAAAACTGGCAGTGAGGGTGCTTTAGGTAAAGCTTGTTCGAGCTTTCGTTGAAACGCCCTCGCTGCCATTTTTCAGTGCCGAGATGCTGATGCACGAGATGCTCTGAGCACTTCAATCAGAGCTGCTCTAACATGCCTCTCCTCTTCCCCACTCCCAGAGTATGCGTATAAACACCCTTAAATCCTGGATGCCATTATTGTCTTTCCCGAACTCCATAACAGGGTGGTCTGAGACAGTTGCCAGCACATACATTCATTTGCTCCCTGGCTGCCTATACCACACCCTTCACCCTCCTAATTCAGTTGGCTCCCTTGTTCTTTAGCCATGGCTTGTAGCAGAAGAATGCATTTCAGTCTGGGAGCAGTGTTTTGTTTATTACCTTTATTCATAATCAAGAAAAAGAGGCTGAACCATCTTGTATATTAAATGAGAGCATGATTTTTTTATCTTGGGAGGTATCACAGACACCAGTGAGGGCAGGCAGAGAGAGAAATGGAGCTGGAGCCATCTAAAATATGGACAAGGAAGAAGAAAGGAGGTTGACCCGGGTCAAACTGGACCTTAAGGGGTCTTAAGAAAATGTAAATGAAAACCACGTGGGCAGTGAGCAGCTGCTGGGAAAACAGCAATGCCTCACCCAGCCTACTGCAGACAGTGGTGATAGACAACATGCATGGTGGGAGCCAGCTTGCACCATTTCTAGATCCCCGCTGCAAAATAATGGAGAAGAGCGGAGTGAGATGTGGGACTTGCAGTTCTGCTTTAAGTGTAAATCTCAGTGTGGGTTGAAGATACAAAAGCGTTGCGGCACTTGGCTGAGGTAGCTGATGGCCTTGCCATCAACCTATGAGACCGTAGAGAAGAAAAAAGTGACGGAACTGACTTGAGAAAGATTAAGATGGGTCAGCAACGTTATTTTGGGTAGCATGTCAAAAACACCCCAGCCTCGACTTGTAAGATGTTGGTGTACCAGGGGCAGAGAGCGGGGAGCTGCAAGGGGCACAGTCCTTGTTGTGGCAGTGCATCCCCAGCCCCCTCCCTGCTGCCCACCCAGAGGTGCATGTGCACCTACCTCCAGCAAAAAGCTGGGTCAGACCTTGGTGCAGCAGCTTGCAGCCTCCCTGCCACCTGCTGTGAGCAGCCTGGGCTCCGTGGTGGGTGGCAGGGACCTGCCTGGAGCCTGAGCCAGCCATGGGCAATCACAGTCACAACAGGAACACTGCTTATACTGGAAAACTTGTTTCTCTTGTAAGTAGTTTTGCTCTCCCGGTACAAAGCACAGCTTTGCCGAGAGAGCCTGTGGGAGCCCTTGGTCATAGCAGCATATGGATATTCCCGTACTGCTGAAGTCCTCACTTGGATGTTGCCAAGGTGTGGGAGAGTCCTTTTCCAGTCTGTAGAGCATGGAGAGTGAGGAAGATCTGGCAGTATCTCAAAGGTGAAGGGGGGAGAAGTAGATACAAAAGGGTGAAACTGAACACAGGAAAATTTAGGCCGCATATCTGGGGAAAAAATGTTTTAACAGCAAGATCTATTTGACGTTGGAATGGCCAAGGGAAGTGGATGGAAAGTCCAATTCTTGAGTCAGTTCACTAGGTTGTTGCAGTGGCCAAACCCTGCACTGGCAGAGGTGATGGACGGCAGGACCCGACAGAGCTTTTCTAACTCTTGCTTCTACAAAGGATTAGTTTGCCTGTAGGAACACTCCCCGTCCTCTCCAAACCAGTTGTGCCAGGTATTGCAATGGCGTAAGAAGGGTTCCTGGGTCTTGCTGTATGCGGAGGGAGCAATGGTCATGACAGGGCTTGCTTTCTGAGCCAGACCTTTGGCTAGTGCTGGAGTAGCTTAGTTCCTGTCCAAACAAATGGAGCGAGGCTGAGATTGGACTTCACTGTCAAATGACATACTCTAAACTCCTGAACTTGAAGAGATTCAAATGATGCATGCAATAAAGAAAAATTAGTTTTGCCCATGAGTAACACTGCCCCCTTCTTTCCCTGGTAGGACTTTTTCTTTCTTTCTTTTTTTTTTTTTTGTGGGACTTCACTCAATCACTTGATCTAGGCAAAATACTAGGGAAGTATGCCCATGACTTGTTGACAAAGTTTGTGGGGGACAAGTTATCTGATGAAAGGAGGATGGATGCTGCAGCTGGAGGGAAATGGCATCTGAGGAATGAATGCAAAGCATAGGGGACTGTAGAGGAGCAAAAAATGGGTAGCCTGGCTGCGTTAGTCATTTAATACTTGGAGTCACAAGAGTTAATATGAAAAGCTGTTCTTGAACCTGATCTTGCCGCTCTTGCTACTCCAGCATTGATATGACGCACATATATGGAAAAAGCAGCCAAGGATCTGGCTCTTGTTAAAAACCTCTCTAATGCCTCTGACTGGGATTGCAGTGAGCAGTTTTAAATACAAAGGGAAGTTGCTTGACATCAGGACACTCGCTGGAGCACAAATCAGTCCCTTTGTTTCCAAAACATGTACAAGTATTGCCACGCACTTGAGCATCAGGCTGCTGATCTGTTGTCAGCGAAGGTTTGGTTGGCGGTTTTGCAGTAATCCACACTGACAAGGTCATGTGGGCGCCAGGTCTGACTGCTCAAGTTTTGTCATCAAGCTGGCACTAGATGAATTCCTTCTGTTTACACTCCTGCCAGAGAGTATTTTTTTTCCAATACCAAGTCCCAGATCTGTTTGTCTTGCCCCAGTGATGATAGCAGCTGATTGACTGGTTCAGTCGCACTGCGGAAGGCCAGGTGTACAATGCCAAAGCGGATGAGATTTTCATTTGGAACAGAACTAGCAGTAATCAAAGTCCTTGTTATTGCTTAACCCTGATTCTCCAGGAGTAGGTAGTCAAGATCCTTTCCTTTTTCTTTACTATGCAGGAGTAGGTCCCTTCATTGATTGCATTGGCAATAATGCTCATATGATCATCATTTAAGGATAAGTAACCTGGATAAGAGTACTCCAGAAGCTCCTTGTCTTTATACCAGCTGTTTTAAGAGAGGAAAAAATAGGATAAATTAGTGAAGTGTGCTGCATAATTCTTGGTGCATTATGGGATTCATCTACATAAGTAAGCTTTGCATTGGGGAGGTGCGTCACAGCAGCAAGAACATGCCAGGTTTAAAGCAGCACTGTCAACTCAACAGCTAGGGTAAAGATGGCAAAAGTTTCTGCATGCAAAGAGTGTGGGTCTTGGGATATTTTCCCTCTCTCCCGGGGTCATGAGAGAGATCCAGGCCCATAGTAGGGGAAAAATTGATTGCCTGCCAAGGTAACAATTGAAAAACAGATGTTGTTTCTTTCATCTTTGGCCGTTAGTCATCTTGGGGGCTACCCACCACAACAACCAGGGAAATCATTTAGATGGTATTAATTTGATGGATAAATTTAAGGCCAGAACTCATCGTTTCTCGTAGATTATGGGCCAGAGGATTTGAGAGACGTTATACTGCGTGTGTTTCTTGATATGAGTACATTTCATAGAATAATTGTAAGGCCCAAAACCAGAAGTAACAAAAGGAGAAGGCAGCCATAGCTAAAGCCAAGATGATGAATCTGGTGGGGGCGCATGAGCCAGGAACCCCAAAGGAGATGATGCACGTGATGGGAGAGGAAGGCAGCGAGCTGACCAGGCAACTGCTGAAGAGAGTTTGTATGTGCAGATGCAAAGTTTGGAGCAGATAAAAGGGCACTTACTACACTTTGCCTTTTTTATGAATAATCTTTTGTCCGCATCGGAAGGTGACATTTCTGCCTTCGGGAACGACCTTGGTTTTCGTTCTAGGTGGAGGAGGAGTTGCAGCTACTGTTGGGAAAGGGAATTCTGGCCAGTGAGAGAAAATAGGTCATGTCAGCTTACTCAGTTGTAAAGCCTTGCAATCCCAGTGTTTCTAAGGAGCTGTGCTGTCTTTCAGGTTTTTTCCTCTGTGTTCCCACCTCACTATTTGAGTGGTCCAAGGTAAAAGCAGCGTGGCTCTTGTGACTTTTATTGCAAGTCTTACGATAGTTGCTGCTTGTTTCATTTTAAATCCTTAGCTTCTGGATTCAGGTGAGAATCCCCAGAGGCAAAATAGTGGTGTAAAATTAAATGGTTTTCACTGACGTGTTGTTTGAAGGCATGTTAGGTATGGTAAGAGCCCAGTTGTGATCTTAATACTTGGCATCTAAACAACCTGAGTGCACTTTTTCCCCAATTAGTCCAGGTTAACATGCATGGTATTGCTGTTTTTAGTATATTCTGAAATGGGTACTGTTAACATAATGCAATTTGGTGCCACTTGATGCTGTGCTATTCCTTTGGCATCGATTCCTCCAAGCTGAGGGAGTAAGCCTGCAGTTAACAAGCTTACTCCTCTCCTTTTCTCAGATCGGCAGGACGTAGACTGGAATTTGTTTTACAAAGCGGTTCTCAGGCTGCGGGTTTTGAAAAGAACAAGTGAAAAAAAGAGCTGGTGGAAGTTAGCCAGCACAAAGGTGAGTCTAGCTCGCCTGAGCATGCAGCCAGGAGGCTGAAGGGGTTTTAGAAGCTGGACCAGGACAACAGGCTTTCCCAGACTCTGGAAAATGGGCCCTGAGGTCCGTGGAGTCTGGTCCCTTTCCTGGGACTTGATTTTTGGCAGGGTGCTGACTAGCAGTTGAGTTCTTAGGACAGGAATGGGGCCCTGTTAATGCCTATTTAGGTTTGTTAAAGCATTCAACATAGCTTCCCTGTCTGTCCGTCCCCCGGCCCTCTTCCCCGTCCTGGGAGCGGAGCATGATACCATAGCAGAAATCACAGCTGGATGGACAGTGCTTCTTCATCATCTTCTGACGGGTCTTGCAGAAGCCTTTCTTAGCCCACGCTGGACACACAAATAGTCTGTCTTTGCAGCCTGGGGGTAGACAGGGACATGGTGTTAAAGGGACAGGCACCAGCTGTTCCTGGAGTGAAAGTGCTAGGTGAAGGGTGACATTGGGCCCTACTGTCAAAGCTGGAGATGTCGTTCTTCACTGTAAGGTTAGGGGCCAGGCCAGAAGTCTGAAAGGGGCTAGGTTTTTGTATTACCAGTGCAGCGAGTGCTGATCAGAGCCTTGGCTGACACCAAGGGAGCAGCAACAGCTTGCAGCAGCTGAGTACTGACCCCCTTTACAGCCATGTACCCAGTTCTGGCTTGGCTGAGGGGTCTGTGCAGTTCTGGAGGCCCAGTGCCCACAGCTCCCCGCTGCTCCAGGTTGGTTTTGTCTCAATCCATTGCTCTAATGCACCTTGTCCCCCTTCCCTCCCCAGGATCCCCAAGAGAGTGAGTGACAGGCATGCAGTTTCTGCCTTCCTGTTGGCCTGTTCTAGTCCCTTCCCATGCAGCGCTGAGCGTGGCAGACACAGGCTAGTGTCTCCTCGCCCTCCAGTCCAAAGTGCCACAACAGGGAACTGACTCTTCTCACTCACCGTAGAGCCTGTGCATGCCCCAGATTTCATCCTGGGAGATGATCTTTTTCCCAGTCAAAGTAGCATTGAGGTGCATCAGGGCATCTGTGTTGAGGGAGTGCATGAGCCCCAGGGCATGTCCGATTTCATGAGCTGCAACATGTACCAGGTCCGTAAGCCATACACCTGGCAGGGAAAACAGCAGCGACAAAAGTTGTACGCTGAGGTTCTGCTTGCTCACCTGCCTGTATAACAGCAAGCTTGGGCCGGATGGGAAATGTTTGGAGATCAGAGAGCAACTGCTAGGAATGGAGGGGTCTATCCCAGGCATCTACACCAGCCTCAGCTCCCATGTAGCTGTGCTGGTCCAGGTGAGCAAACCTGATGGCGGTGCTAGCAGCTTTCTTCCCGACTTCAAGCATTGGGTCAGCTGGCAGTTTTGAATTGACGCTGATGCAGGCACATTTATGTCTGAAATTGGGGCAGAAAACCAGCATGACAAAGCCTATGTTTCCTGGCAGCTTTCAACTATTTGATTCCCACAGCATTGCCCTGTGACTGGGAAATGACCGTTCGCACAGGCCTACCATTTAGGACGAGGCCATTAGTTGGAAGACTTTGCTCATCAAGCAGCACTTGCTCACCGAAAACAGCTTGGCTTATACAGGCCCTACCTACACTTGAGGACAGCTTGTGATTTTTGGTTTGCTGCAGTTTACAGTCCCTCAAACTGTAGGGCTACACTGCGGCTTCGTTCTAGCAGCTTAGAGACTGTTGGGAGCAGAGAGGGGTTTTACACAGGAGGATGACTCAAAAGGAGCATGACTCTTGTGTAAACACAGGCCAGGGGATCTTGGGCAACAATTGCTGCATCAAGCCCAACCGTTCTTTGTTGAGCTAGGGCAGCTCTTGAGGAAAGAGAGCGTTGTTTGTGAATTTACTTCACTGATCGATAAATTGAATTGTCTTTATAGTGCGAGCGTCATGGGTCTGGAACAAGCTCCACCCAGAGGTGGTGCAAGCACCTACTCTGGACTCATTCAAAAACCATGTGGACATTTTTCTTGCTGGGGTCACTTGATCCCAGCTGACTTCCTGCCTGTGGTGGGGGGGCTAGACCCGATGCTCTCACGAGGTCCCTTCCAGCCCCTAATGTCTATGAAATTTCAATGGGAGTCCCTGGCACAAGAGCATCCTTTTTTCTGGCCACTTCTCAAAGGGCTGTTGAAGGGGAGTATAATTGCTATCCAGTGTAATGTTATTAACTAACATCTCTGATTTTCACTTCCATTGCACTGCCCGAGTCAAGTACTGGGACACTTCTTGTCACCCCGCTGGTGTCTCCTGGGTTTGGACCAACTTCTTGGTAAATACTTGCCTCTTCTATCCCTTGCAAACTCTCCAGCCTGAGCCCAGTAGTTTGTTTTCAGAAAAACAAAAGCTAGTGAAATAAATTACCAGCGGGTAGGTCTACAGTCTGCTGGCGTAAGTGTGTTAGCAAACGGCCGTGAAAACTGGAGGTCTGATTTTTATTATCGTTATCACACTGAGCCATGGAATGCACTTAGCATGTAATTCAGGGTTTGGCTGGGAGTTTTTTTTTCCAGATACAAATATGCTAGTGGATGATGTGAAATGGGCAGTCTCTCTCGCTTTCTCTGGGCCATATATTGCTATCCTTGCTTTAAGGCCAGTCTTTCCTGCTATTAGTCCCTCAGAGGTTTTGATCCTGTCCCCCCACCCACCCATCTAGCTTTTATCTCTTTGTGTTTTCAGAGGCAAGGAGAGTTCTTCCAAGTCCTTCTAGATTACAGCTGAGTTTTCTTTTCTTCTGCTGGTTTCACAATCCTGATGTCTGAGCTGAGGCATTAGAAAGCGCATACTTATACAGTTTGTGGTTTCTAGAGAGCTGTTAGCATATGTAGCATATTGCAGTAGGTTAAAATAAAAGTTTACAGAAACCAACACTCCTTGCCCTGGGAAGGTAAATATGTTTGAAATAGCCCTGCAGGGACAAGGAGGGAAGTTCACCTAATGAGCAGGCTATGTGCCCTTACAGTGCATGCATCTGCCTAGGTGCGGATGAATCCCTTGTCTTTCCTCCTGCTGCTACAGAATTATTTCTAGTGCTTTGTTCAGTCAGAGATGCTGCTGGTGCTGGGGTTCCTAGCTTTCCTCTGGCAATTATTTAACAGCTCAGTAAATCTTCCCTGCATGGAGCTGCCCCTCATAGCAAAAAGCAAATTCCCACCTTGAATGTGCAGTTATTCCTAGCAATATGGCATAACACAGAGAAGCAAACTAGCTATTTTCATTTCTGTGAAGGGGCAAATGCGTGTTCAGTCTCTGCAAAAGTGACTAGTGATTCGGGATCCAGCCCCAATGGCACCTTCACGGGGCCTGATTCTCAGGAACATCAGAGTATCTCTTTCACGGTCGATGGGTCCCTTATAAGCTGTCTGCAGTTGCATACCCCAAATCACTCATCACTTTAGAAATGCTGGCATATAGGTCTACACCCAGGCACATGTATGTAATATATGTATAAACCTTGCATCTTCCACACACACAAATTAAGGCAGTGAGATCCATGGCTGAGGCTTTCCCCTATCCCCACCCTTTTTTTGGTCAAAAGGAAAAAAAGCCGAACTTCAAAGAACTATTGAGCTTGCTTTTTGAACTGTGCTGAGTTTGCTCCTTAGCCAGGGGCCATCTGCTTGCAATTTAGTGTCAGTTTAGACATTACTTCTTTGAAACCCCCCCCACCATTAACAAAGACATTTTTAGGTGCCCACAAGCATGAAAGTGACCATTAAGGCCTGTTGCAGAGGACAGCAAAAATGTAAACAGCCATGCCAAGAAACCAGAGCACGGTAATGTGGCCTCTCCCAGAGATAATGCAGCTGCTTGGGCCAAAGCCAGTCCCAATCATTTAGACGGGTTGGAGCCCACTGAGTTACTCAGGAGCAGCTGGAGCTGCCACCAGCCCTGGAATATTCCACAGCTGGAGCGCAGGCTCGTGACGGCAACTTTGGAGAATGCAGAAAACTCTTCTTGTGCACCTTAATGTGGGGCGAAAGAAAATCTGCCTCTGCATTAAAGTATAGGGCCAAGTCTTTCTCACCTTATGGGAACAGGGCTGTCAGAACAGAGGCAGACCCTTGGCATGGTGAAAGTGGTAGGTTTTTCTCCTTACAGAAGTGAAATGTGGATAACGCAGGAATTGTCTGAATCCCATCCCCTCCTAGCTTCACAAAGTCAGCAGTGCCTCTCCTTACCCCTACTGTTGTCCTGCTGGGCCAGTGCCTATCAAAGTAATTTAGCTGGCAGTGGGTTCATCAGTGCCTCCTATGCATGCGGGAAAATAGACTGTAGTCAGAAGCATCTTCTAAAGGCTTGAACGAACAGGATGAGCCATCATAGAAATGCATTTGATATGTGTCTGATTGCATCCGAATGTTGTGCCGTCAAATGTCGTATTGGATTGGTTAGAAGCAAATGATTTCTATGGGCTTAAGGCACAGATTGCACCTCCATAATACCAACATCTACATTAAACCCCCCCTGGATTAGGAAGAAGTTTGGCTCTGGAGTCCATTTCATGATGGGTCCCCCATCCCTCCACTAGATCCCTTTAGCATATGTGCCCGTGAACCTTGTGCCTTTTTAAAGGGTAATTAGCATCACCGGGGGACGCACAAACTTCTTGCAAGCGTTAGACCTGCTCTGGGCTGCTGTAGTTACCCTTTTTCCAGCTGAACCGTGTGTTTCCTAATATCCAGTATTCATGGTCATCAAAATGGATTTCTCCGTTAGGTGGGAAGAAAGCGTGGGCAAGCTCTCCTGTGGTCCCGTCAAAGCAGTGATGGATGAGTGACTGCAGGCAGTCGGTATGATTGATGGAGTAGAAACCTGTGAACGATGGTGCATAAAGCGGAGTCAGAATATCCAGAACACAGATGCACATAAACTGGGTACTAACCACGGTGCCTGTTCCCAAGGGATTTAGCCTACAACCTGTATGTTTGCCATCCTACAGATACGGGAAAAGAAATGCAAACAAAATGAGGGATGAATAAAATGAACTGCGTCCAGTGGAGAAGTATTTGTGGTGACCTTGGATTGAGAGCTGTCCAAAGGAAACAAGTTAAGCTGCATGTCAGGAAAGACATGTGGTTCACAACACTGAGCAAAAACTTGATCTTACAAGGGCATGGGGAAACTCCTGCTTGATTTAAAAATTGGTGCAGGGATGTGATCAGATGCTAACCCCTAACCACTGCATGGCCTCAGCACCTATAGCCTGACGTTTCATAGTAGGTAGGGTTGGCAGGGTACTGAGCAGATCATTGAGTCCGACCCCCTGCCATGGCAGGA